GTTAGAAACAATGTGAACATAAAATACCTAGTTAACAAATTATAAAAAATGCTGGCAGTTCAAAATAGTAGGAAAGGGCAGGCATTTGGGGAGTGGAAAAATGAATGGGCTTTCCTCATTCTTTGTTTTTTCTGCCTCTCAAATAAAAAATTTAAAACAGTGGTAAGCTAAAAAAATACCTTAAAAAACCCTAAAAATAAAATTATACATGAGAATGTATTACCAGCACAGCTTGTGGGCAATTACATGCAGAGAATACAAAAGAGCTGGCGTTCCTGGTCCTCACATTTGGAAGTCTTGCCTTGCAATGAAGAGTTTGTTTTGCTTTTATGGCACAGCTACCCCTGGTGAACATGGTCACATTCATTTTCTGCTTTTATTTGAAATTGTTCTGCAACATCCACTGACCTGAGCACTCTGTTAAATTTTCACATCTTTTGTGCAATGCTCTTGTGTTGCTTAGGGAACAAAGAAATCCATTCCACATGGGACTCTATATATAGCCTACCAATTTGGTGGAAACATTACTGATGGTTGACCAGCAACAGTTGAATGTCTTCTTATCCTATGGTGCACATAATTATTTTTGGACCAGTCAGTCCCTTCATGGCTTCTTTGGGAAGATGACACCTTTAATTCCTTAAAGGTTTCTGGAATTTCATGAACTGGAAGGAATGCCAAGATAGACAAATGCATTTTTAAAGTGAAGTGTTTACTATGGCCATATTATGTGGCTCATGTCTTCTCCAGAATTTATCTCTTATACTGCATTTTTTTAAAAAAGGGGAATTGTTTATAGAATCTTGAGTATTAGGATTTCAACATTTTGGGTTCTAAATTTTTGGGATTGTGGTTTTTTTTTGGATTTTGGATGATAGATTTTGATCTTTTGGTATTTAAATATTTAGGATGACATTGGGGATTATTTTTCAGGATTACAGTCAGAACCAAAAGTAAATATGTAACATCAAATAGTGATGATTGATGTAAAAAGGAATTCAGGTAATGATGTAAAGAGTGACATAACTTCAGACAGATCACTGGAGGTATGATTCTTATTTTATTTTATTTTTTTTTTTGACAGGCAGAGTGGACAGTGAGAGAGAGAAACAGAGAGAAAGGTCTTCCTTTGCCATTGGTTCACCCTCCAATGGCCGCTGTGGCCGGCGCACCGCGCTGATCCGAAGCCAGGAGCCAGGAGCCAGGAGCCAGGAGCTTCTCCTGGTCTCCCATGGGGTGCAGGGCCCAAGCACTTGGGCCATCCTCCACTGCACTCCCTGGCCACAGCAGAGAGCTGGCCTGGAAGAGGGGCAACCGGGACAGAATCCGGTGCCCCGACCGGGACTAGAACCCGGTGTGCCGGTGCCGCAAGGCAGAGGATTAGCTTAGTGAGCCGCGGCACTGGCCATGATTCATTTTTAATCTCAGTTTTTCCCCATAGTTTATTTTTGGTATTTATTTACCCATGCCATATACAAGCATTTATTCCTATATTACCCTAAAAGAGCTGCATGATAGCCCATTGTACATGTGTACCAAAATTTGTTGAACTTGTCTATGTCTTCTAGCCTATCTATGTGGTTTAGAAAAGGAATTTCCAAATATATATATATACACACATATATTATATATATATATAAAGGAATTTCCACACATATCCTTGATTACAAATAGTACTCAATTTTTTTTAAAGATTTATTATTTATTTGAGATAGAGTTACAGAGGGAGGTCTTCCATCTGCTGGTTCATTCCCTAAATGGCCATAATGGCCAGAGCTGGGCCAATCTGAAGCTTCTTCCAGACCTGCCATGCGGGTGCACAGCCCTGAGCACTTGGGCCATCTTCCACTGCTTTCCCAGGCCATAGCCGAGAACTAGATAGAAAGAGAAGAAACTGAGAGTCAAATCAGTGCCCACATGGGATGCCAGGCCCAGAGGTGGCAGCCTTATTGGCTACACCATGGCATGGCCCCTCGTAAAATTTCCTATGGAGATACAATGTCAGAATTCAATAAATTTCGAAAAATAGTTTGATTATTCCCAACATGTTGAATCAGATCACGTATCTTCTAAGACTGTCATTCTGCCACATTTCCCACACCCCAGGCAAAGGATATTTTTAAGTTCTACAAATCTATTCATTACAATCTCACATCTGCAATCGGATTGAATACTATGCCAAATACTAATTGGCTAACCTGTCTTGCTTTTGTCTCTTTTAATCCTTTTGGATTGTGTATTAGTGGTTTTCTTGTCTCTTTCCTATGTTGCAGAACCACAGATTATGAATAATCAACTTTTACTCTAAAGTGAATATAAATGAAAAGTGCCAAAAATATGGCAAAAAGATCTGGCTGTATTTCATGCCACCAAGGCATAAGGCAATTTGTAAAAATTAACAATTTTTAAAAAGTACTTTATCTGAAAGGCAAGGCAGTGGTGGGGACAGGGAGGTATCTTTTAACCTGCTGGCCCATTCCCAATGTCTACAACAGCCAAGTGCAGGGCCAGGCCAAACTCAGGAAACTACAACTCCACCTGGGTGTCCCACGCGGGTGGCAAGCACCGAATTACATAAGCCATCCCCTGCTGCCTCCAAAGGTGCACATTAACAGGAAGACGGAACGAGGAGTGGAGCCAGGACTCACATGTAGGCACTCCACCACGGGTTGAAGGCATCCCAAGTGGATGCTTAACTGCTGCACCAGACACGTGCTGGTTGTGACGTTTTAAACCAGAGTTGCTTCTTTTTCTGCTTGATGTCCCATTGACTTCTACCTGAGGCATCTCATAGGAAACCCAGTAGGTACTCCTGGATAATTAACACTGGATTCCCACTGGAAGAGAATTGTATGGAACTACTTGATGGCAAGCTGCTTCCTGAGTATTCTGATTTCATGTGTGTCCTCTGGCAGACTTGTGAATCTCAATGTTTAGCCTGACCTAAGAAAGTCCACTGGGATATGTCATTAAGCAACTTAGATAAAAAAATATATTGTCATAGACTGGCAAGCAATTAAAATACTTAATTTGGCATGCTCATTCTAAAATTTATCTGATGAAAACTGTCATCAGATATGAAGAATTAGTGCTACAGTATTTTTTTAAAAAGATTTATTTGAAAGACAGAGTTAGAGAACGAGGTAGAGACAGAGAGAGAGGTCTTCCATCCACTGGTTCACTCCCCAGATGGCCACAATGGCCAGAGCTGCGCCGATAAGAAGCCAGGAGCCAGAACAACTTCTGGGTCTCCCACGTGGGTGCAGGGGCCCAAGCACTTGCATCATTGTCCACTGCTTTCCCAGACCATACCAGAGAGCTGGATCGGAAGAGGAGCAGCTGGGACTAGAACTGGCCCCCATATGGAATGCCAGTGCTTCAGGCCAGGGCTTTAACCTGCTGCGCCACAGCGCCAGCCCGTACAGTGCTATAGTATTTATGAGTGTGGTAGCAGCCCATGTATAGACCAATAGACTAGATAACAGATATGGCACAGATATCATTGTTGAGATGTGGGGGAATGATCCATTGATAAATGATGTTGTGACACATGATTTTAAGATTTATTTATTTGAAAGAGTTACCTGGGGGGGGGGGGGAGGGAGTGTCTTCCATCTGCTGGTTCACTCCCCAAATGGCCACAACGGCCAGAGCTGATTTGCTGCCAGGAGCCAGGAGCTGTTTCTGGGTTTCCCATGTGGGTGCAGGGGCCCAAGCACATGGACCATCTTCTACTGCTTTTCCAGGCCATAGCAGAGAGCTGGATCAGAAGAGCAGCAGCTAGGATTCGAACTGGTGCCCATATGGGATGCCAGCGCTGCAAGACACGGCTTTAACCTGCTGTGCCACAGTGCTGGGGGCCCCAACATGGTTATTTTTATGCTACATATAGTACAGGCACGTTCTATCATATTCTTAAACACAAAGTCAATTCCAAGTAGATAAAAAAGAGTTTTGAAGTACAGAGTTATCTTAACATCATTTGTACAGAAGATTTCTTTAAGAATCCAAATAACAAAGGGAAAGACAGATAAAAACATTGAACATATGAACTGCTGAAGGCACCACTGAGAGAAGTCTAAGTTTGAAGATTCCTGTAGTGAATATAACTGCCAAAGGACTAAAACTATAAAATGTTAAAAGCTAAAATAAATTGACAAGATAGGCAGACCAACTGAAAAATAGGAAAAAAGTATTTCACAGAAGATAATTAATAATAAAACATGAAAATACTATAATAAGTAGAAGAAACATTTACGCCGGCACCGCGGCTCAATAGGCTAATCCTCCACCTAGCGGCGCCGGCACACCAGGTTCTAGTCCCGGTTGCCCCTCTTCCAGTCCACTCTGCTGTGGCTCGGGAAGGCAGTGGAGGATGGCCCAAGTGCTTGGGCCCTGCACCCCATGGGAGACAAGGAGAAGCCCCTGGCTCCTGCCTTCGGATCAGCGCGGTGCACAGGCCGCAGCGCGCCAGCCGTGGTGGCTATTGGAGGGTGAACCAAGGGCAAAAAGGAAGACCTTTCTGTCTCTCTCTCTCTCTCACTCACTATCCACTCTGCCTGTCAAAAACAAAAAAACACTTAACTTCTTGCAAATTATAATCTCTTAAAAAATATTTATTGATTTGACAGGCAGAGTTAGAGATATCTTTCATTTGCTGATTAACTCCCAAAATGACACCAGTGGCAAGTGCTGGGCCAAGTCAAAGAAAAAGCTTCATCTGGGTCTCTTATGTGAGTGGCAGGGGTCCAAGTACTTTGGGCCATCTTCTCCTGCTTTCTCAGGCTCATTACCAGGAGGAGTGGAGAAGCCAGCACTTCAACCAGCACTTATGATGATGGCATGATGCATTGCAGGTTTTTAAAATATAAACAAACAAATATTATTTTTTTTTTTTTTTTTTTTATAAACTTTTATTTAATGCATATAATTTTCCAAAGTACGACTTATGGATTACAATGGCTTCCCCCCCATACCGTCCCTCCCACCCACAACCCTCCCCTTTCCCACTCCCTCTCCCCTTCCATTCACATCATGATTCATTTTCGATTATCTTAATATACAGAAGATCAGCTTAGTATACATTAAGTATGGATTTCAACAGTTTGCTCCCACACAGAAACATAAAGTGAAAAATAATAGATGATTTTTTTAAATGATGATGAAATCAGAGCAGACCTATTGTCATGAACAAACAAATATTATTGAGGACTAATAGCACTGAATGTTTATACCCTACAGATAGGATTGTGAACAGACATATCACACTGGAAAATACCCTGACATTATCCAATAAAGATGAAGACCCAACAATTCACATTCTAAAGAAAGCAGGAGCCACCCTTGTGAAAGTTCTCAACTGAGTATCCATCAGACATGGAAGAGAAATGGAGTACAATCTTAGGGAAAAGAATGGGTGAACCACATAAACATGAAGTTGAATAGAGAAAAATATAAGACACATTAACAATTCAGTATCATTAACATTATAAAAAGGACTAAAACATTTGGAAGTAAACAACATACTGTTTAGGGATAGAAAGATACAATGGCAGAAGTTTAAGGGGGAAAAAAAAAGACTATCAAACCAAAAATAATGGAGAAATCAGCTAGGACCAGGGAGTAAAGAAGTTGGGTTTTATAAGGGATACAAATGAAACTTAAAAAGTACATCATTAGCACATGGTTGGTTTCTTTTTATTATGTTCTACACACTTTTATAAAACACCTTGTTGAGATTATGTACATATGAAAAATATTCATTTTGCATTATTTACAAAAATCAGAATGTCCAAAATAAACATGCATCAGTGGGGAAATGGTTAAATATGGAACTGTCAATATTAAACATGAAAATAATTAAAAAAGAAAAAGGCTCTAGATTATGAGAAAGAAGTACAGATGTATTTAGCTGGAGGTGTCATATTATCAGAAAATGCAAATGAATCTAAAAGAAGCTATTAGAAGTAAAATTAGCAGGACTTGGATACAATATTAATGTACAAAAATCAAATTTCTATTTACTAGCAATGAACAGTCAGAAAATTGAAGTAAAATATCATGAATAAGCATTAAAAGATTCAAATACTTAGGGATAAGCCTGACAAGAGGTAAAGACATGATGGAAAATTATGGAACATTTCAGAGATACTAAAGATGAAAATAAATGATTTATGGATTTTAAGACTCAATATTGTCAATCATCCCCAAATTAACCAAAAATACACAACACAATCCAATTCAAAAACTCAGCAGTCTTTTTTCTTGACATGTTTTTTGAAATCTTAAATATCTGTGTATCTGCTAAAAGATATAAATCCCTGAATTAATATAAATTAACTTTAGAAGAAAACCATGAAACCAAGTTAACAGGGGATTGTGATGAGAGGTCAGATCCCCACATGACATAAAAGACAACAGGTGAACGCAGCTCAAGGGCACTTTCTCCAAATGGGAACCAAGGAAAAACTGTAAGAGCATTAACTCATTTTCCACAAAACTAAGTCAATACTGACATACATGCATACATATACAATACATTGTAACTGAGAAAGACTACGGCCAGCAGAAGTGGAAACTTCCTACCTAGACAGAGCAGGTGGCCCCAGAGTATTCATGCATATTTTATGAATAAAGGCTTAACAGTTCTTAAAGTGAAAGTATGTAGGCAATTAATACAGAAAAAACAGGCTTTTACTGAGATTACTGAAAAAATTTATAACTTAAGAAAATGTGTTACTCACTCATCACTGTACTTTTCAAGTATTGTATCTAAGAATTTCTAAAGCATTTTCCAAATGAGCCTCATAATCTACCCCATAAAATAGGCTATATAACCACACTTTTTATAAGCTGCTGAAACTAAGATATAAACTATTTTGGTTTGCAGGAAAAATTGAAAAAAAAAAATAGTCAACACTATAGATTCACCATTTTGGTCATGTCCATTAAGAGAAAAAGAAATGATCCAATAGTTCATCATTCAAAATCTGTAACTGTACAGATCTGAAGAGGTTTTGAGTCAGTTCCAGTGTAGAAATAGGGCCAAAGCACTCCTGTAAAATAATCACTAAAAGTGTACAGAACAGATCTATCGTTAAGATTATAAAAGGAAACCTCACCCATTTCAAAGTCTAAAAAAATGCCAATCTTATTTGGTGTTACATGTGGCAGAAGCTGAATTTTCCTAGGACCTACCGCAACATAATTACCGTGACCCCACAGCCCAATTCCCCATAACCCATCCTGTACTAAAATTGGCTGATTGTGACTCTTTCTTTTTCTGGGAAGAGATTCTGTACAGACACCTATAATCCATTCATACTTATCTTTGACTTCTACCTCCCAGTACTGCCTGCCAGAATTATATTCCTTAGAACCTAGAACAGCTGGGCAGAGATAAAATCTTTTTGGGTTAGGTGGTAACTTTTGCGTTATATTTCCATATTTCACAGATTTCCTATCTCCTGAGACAACAAGTTTACGATGTGCTGTGTCAGGATCTAGAATTACATCAACTTGAAATCGCTGGATAATTTTATTCAGGCCAGAATATTGTGGTGGAAGACGGTAACCATAGTCTTTTAATTGAAATGAAAACAGTTCAGGGCATTTTAAGTTTTTATATCTGAGGTAGACACTCTTAATATCTGCCAGCAACTCCAGATCTGACTCCACGTGTTTTCTCTTTATCTCTTTTATGAGGTGCTTTAATGAGGTAGCATGATCTGAAAACTTTGTTAGGTTTTCGCTTAGTTTTACCAAAATACCCATCTCATCATCTTGTAATTGTCTAAGTACATTCTCTCGCTCATTTTGGAGAAACAACATAAATTGCTCAAATTCAGACTTGATTTCTTCTCTTCTATGTTCTGCCTTTATCTTCAGTTCCAGTGATTTTGTGGTATGCATAGTGATCACTCTTAAACTGTGCTCTATTTTCTCTTTCCATGCCATAATGTAACACTCCAAGTTTTTCCTATGATAGGGGGCAGCCTCCTCTATGGGCCAAATATAGTGATGGAGGTGATCAGCAGAGAAACTGCACTGTGGACATAAAACCTCTAGGTCTTTCTGACAGAATAAAGTCATAATCTGATGGTGTTTCTCACATATAAGCTTCTCTTCCTGCCTTTTCCTTTTACTTCTTCTTATTTGGAGTAGCTTGGCAATTTCAGTCAAATTACTCAGCTGGTTATTGCTCATGAATTTCCTTTCTGGACAGCGTAAATGGCAAAAAGGACAGGGGAAACTATCATTTAGATCCTTCCAGGACATACTGATGCAGGAGAAACAGAAGTTATGCCCACAGTGGATGGTCACTGGGTCTTTCAAGTATTCCAGACAGATGAGACATTTAGCCTCTGCTTGGAGGTCTGACAAGACTGTCAAAAACTCCATGGAGTTTTAAGCAAAGGTGGTAGGTAAGGTAACACTTTTTTTAGTGAGACCTGGCTCTTGAGAGCTCAAGACCAAGTATACGTCAGAAATCCTCCCGTAGACCTTAAAAGCTACCAGCTTTCAGTCTCACTGGCTTGGCATGTTGATGGTCGCCTCTGAAAATGTGATTAGCACTCTGTCCCTCAGCTCCAGGGTCTGCTGCCACGAATGCTCCACAGCCTTTAGCCTGTGTGTATTAAAACACAGCAGCTGAGCTGCTGCTCTTCTCACTTATGATCCGAAGTCCAGCTTAACAGCTTGCTTGCTCAAGAAACTATCTTCAGATCCAAGGTAAAAAATCCTTCCTACAGATGAGAGAAGATATTTAGATTAAAACTGACTCTAAAATCATCAATGCATTATAATGTTCATACAAGAATAATCAAGGAAAGTTACAATAACTGGATAGAATCCTTGTAAACCCAGAGAATTCATATGGTAGAGATTCACTTGAGTGTAACTTTTTTATTTGACAGGTAGAGTTATAGACAGTGAGAGACAGAGAGAAAGGTCTTCCTTTCATTGGTTCACTCCCCAAATGGCCGCCATAGCTGGCTCTGTGCCCATCCCAAGCCAGGAGCCAGGTGCTTCCTCCTGGTCTCCCATGTGGGTGCAGGTGCCCAAGCACTTGGGCCATCCTCCACTGCTCTCCCAGGCCATAGCAGAGAGCTGGACTGGAAGAGGAGCAACTGGGACTAGAACCCAGTGCCCATATGGGATGTCGGCGCCATAAGCGGAGGATTAACCAAGTGAGCCACAGCACAAGCCCCTCGAATGTAACTTATTAAATCTTGCTCCAAAATATCTAGTACAAATCTAATCATGAGAAAATTAATATAACCTGGATTGTAGGGTACTCTGTAATGCAACTGGTATATATTTTCAAAAATGTTAATGTCCTGAAAAACAAAGTTCTAGATTTAAGATGTAAGAAACATGACAAATAAACATTGTCATCTTCTATCAGATCTGAGATCTTAAAATTTTTGCAGTGGCAAGTATATGGCATAACAGTTAAAAAGTCCCTTATAGTGCCTGTGCCCCCACACTGGAGTACCTGAGTCCAAACCCTGGCTCCTGATTCCTGCTAATGTAGATCTTGAAAGCCAGGGGTAAGGACACAAGTAGCTGAGGGTTCCTACCACCCATAAGGGAGATCTGGTTGCGGAGTTATCTGCCTCCCACTCTACCTTTGTGGAAATTTGGGGGAGTGAACCACAGGTAGGAGCTTCTTCTCTGACTCTCAAATAAAAAATAGAACTTTGGGGACAAATGTGATAATTTTAGTTTGGGTTATAATCACATAATACTATATCAGCGTTAAACTGGAAACAACATAATTATCATAGATGTGAATGTTTTGGGAACCAGCATTGTTGTACAGTGGATTACACAGGCATAGTGGACAGTGAGAGAGAGAGAGGGAGAGAGAGAGAGACAGAAAGGTCTTCCTTTGCTGTTGGTTCACCCCCAATGGCCACTGCGGCCAGTGTGCCGCACCGATCCAAAGCCAGGAGCCAGGTGCCTCCTCCTGGTCTCCCATGTGGGTGCAGGGCCCAAGCACTTGGGCCATCCTCCACTGCAATCCTGGGCCACAGCAGAGAGTTGGACTGGAAGAGGGGCAACTGGGACAGAAGCTGGCACCCAGAACAGGACTAGAACCCGGTGTGCTGGTGCCGCAGGCGGAGGATTAGCCTATTGAGGCGCGGCACCGGCCAATGCCAGCATCCTATATCAGTGTTGGTTCAAGTTCTGGCAGCTCCACTTTCTATCCGGCTCTCTGATAACAGCCTGGGAAAGCAGCAGAAGATGGCCCAAGTGCTTGGGCTCCTAACATCCTGAATAGAGTCCTAGGCTCTTGGCTTCCACCTGGCCCATCCTTGGCCCAAGTTATGACCATTTGGGAAATGAACCAGAAGATGGGAAATATTTCTCTTTCTCTCTTTCAAAGAAATAATAAAATCTTTTTTTTTTTAAGTTTCTTTTTTTTTTTTTTTTTTTTTTGACAGGCAGAGTGGACAGTGAGAGAGACTGGCGCGCTGAGGCCGGCGCACTGCGCTGATTCGATGGCAGGAGCCAGGAGCCAGGTGCTTTTCCTGGTCTCCCATGGGGTGCAGGGCCCAAGCACCTGGGCCATCCTCCACTGCACTCCCTGGCCACAGCAGAGAGCTGGCCTGGAAGAGGGGCAACTGGGACAGAATCCGGCGCCCCAACCGGGACTAGAACCTGGTGTGCCGGCGCCGCTAGGCGGAGGATTAGCCTAGAGAGCCGTGGCGCCGGCCTGAAATAAAATCTTAAAAGTGAGCTCCTAGCAGCTGGTTCATTCCCCCCAAATGCCTTCCAGGGGCCAGGACTGGTCTGGCAGGTCTCCCACAGGGTAGCTAGAATCCAAATACTTGAGACCTAACTGCCATGTTCCACAGTCTGCATTAGCACAAAGTAGCTAATCCAATGTGAGACACAGACATCTTAACAGCTAGGCTAAATGCCAGCTACCCACCACCATTTTTCTTTTGAAATTTTAAAAATAAGAAGTGAAGGGTCGGCGCCGTGGCTCACTTGGCTAATCCTCCGCCTGCAGCGCCGGCATTCCGGGTTCTAGTCCTAGTTGGGGCACTGGATTCTGTCCCAGTTGCTCCTCTTCCAGTCTAGCTCTCTGCTATGGCCTGTGAGAGCAGTGGAGGATGGCCCAGGTGCTTGGGCCCTGCACCCATGGGAGACCAGGAGGAAGCACCTGGCTCCTAACTTTGGATCGGTGCAGCGTGCCAGCCGTGGCGGCCATTTGGGGGGTGAACCAACGGAAAAGGAAGACCTTTCTCTCTCTCTCTAACTCTACCTGTCCAAAAAAAAAAAAAAAAAAGTAGTGAAGGAGAGAAACTTACTGTTTTCAAGAAACCCGATTTTCAGGAAATCAAATTCCTCTGTCAACTGTATGAGCCACCTCACCATCAATACAGTATCTTTCAAATCATTGTATCACACACTACTGGACCCTTTTTCAACTATTCTTTCTCCTCTCCAATTCCCCATAAATCAATAACAAAGCAATAGTATGGGCATGGCTTCAACATAGGAACTAGGCTTTGTCTTGATGATCTAGCAGGTTCTTTTACTATATAGACTTTCTTATCAGAAGAATAGGAAAAATGCAACGTCTCTACTTATAAATAAATTACTCCCAAATCAAGGTTTGACTCAGTGTTTTGGGCTTGCATAAGCAAAAACTATCACAGCAAAATGGTATAGGAAGCAGTGTTTTTACAATGTAAGGATTCACACTACTAAGAGGACACAAAGTTTGAATCCTGGCTCAACTACTTTCTGGGTGTCTTTATGGAGAATTCTTAGCTTTAAATTCACTTCTTTGACATGTAAAATAGAAATTATAATAACCTTTTTCTGTAATGAAAGTATTATATAAATGGTAGCTAAAACATGCCCATTATTCCTAGCAGAGGAACTTTCTATGTTAGATATATTGGTATATATATTCAAATAATGTCTACACAGTGATTTTCTCATTAGTTCTTTTAAATATTTTTCAATTTACGATAAAGCTTTCTACCTCCAACTTTGTCCTGTAGACAATTTAAGTTCTAATTTGCCTATTGCTTCTTTTTTCTTAGATCTTATTTTTTTAAATTTATTTTTTAAGGAATACAAATTTCTTAAGCATAACTTTAGGAATATAATTATTCTTCCCACCATAACAGCCCTCCCACCGATACTCCCACCCCCCTTCTCCTCTCTCTCCCCTTGCCAGTCCCATTCTCCATTAAGATTTCCAATTAACTTTGTATACAGAAGACCAACTTTATACTAAGATTTCAACAATTTGTGGGTGCACACACACACAACTCATAACTGGTTTTACAGTTAACTCTCAATACAACTCATTGAGAACAGAGGTCCTGCATGGGGAGTTATTACACAGTGACTTGTTAACAATTAACACTCTTATGTATGACATCAGCAACCACCCAAGGCTCTTGAAATAAGCTGCCTAGGCTATGGAAGCCCTTTGAGTCCACAAACTCCATCAGTATTTGCACAAGGCCATAAGCAAAGTGGAAGTTCTCTCCTCTCTTTATAGAGAAAAGTATATGCTTCTTTGATGGCCATTCTTTCCACTAGGGTCTCACTCACAGAGATCCTTCATGTAGAACTTTTTTTGTCAGTGTCTTAGCTTTCCATGCCTGAAGCCTAGAGCTTTTTGATATAGCTGAACTTGTCACTCGAACCTTTAAAACTGGTTGAGTCTTTAATAATGCCCTTCGTATTTCCTCATCTTCATCTGACTAAAGCACTTGACGTTTTCAGTTTTTAAACATAGGTGTGATGCTCTTTTATCTACACAAACCACTTTTTTTTCCTTTTTCCTTTCTTTTTTATTTAATGAATGCATTTTTTTTAGATACAATTTTAGGAATATAGTGGTCTTCCCCCCATACCCCCCAAATCCCACCCCTCCTCCCTCTCTCATCTCCTCCTTCATTATGGTTCATGTTTAGTTTGAATTTATATACAGAGGACCAACTCCATGCTAAGCATAGACTTCAACAATTTGCACCCATGCACACACACAACATATAGAGTACAGTTTGGGAAGAAAATTTGCAGTTGATTCTCATATTACAATTCATTAGGGACAGAGGTCCTCCATGGGGAGCAAGTGCACAGTGACTTCTGTTGTTCCTTTAACAGTTAACACTCTTATTTATGACATTGATCACTCGAGGCTCTTGCCTTGGGCTTCCAAGGCTATGGAAGCCTTTTTTGACCATGGAATTCATCAGTATTTGGACATGGCCATAAGCAAAGGGGATGTTCTCTCCTCCCTTCAAAGAAGAGTATCTCCTTCTTTGATGACTCTTTCCACTAAGGTCTCATACAGATCCTCCGTGTAGGGGTTTTTTTGCCGCAGTCTTGGCTTTCCATGCCTGAGATGCTCTTGCAGGCCTTTCAGTCCGACCAGGAAGCCTTAAGGATTGATTCTGAGGACAAAGTACAAATCACTCTTTAGATCATCCTTTCCTTACTTTGTTCCTCAGACTGAGCATTGCTCCTTTAGGAGACTACACCCAAAAGAAATGTTCTCTGGGATGGTTTATTATGTGTCAGGGACTATACTAAGGCTTTTCAATACAGTTACAGATTCTAATTAAACCATGAGAACAACTTTGTAAGTCAGGAGATATTATCTTCAATTGTAAAATCTGAGTGTACAAGAATTTGAACATGCTTCTCCAACATTACATCAACTGGCATAGCCGCTGGGTTGTACCTAATCATTAAGCTAAACTGTACTTCATACTCCCAGAGCTTTACATATCAAAGCACCTTATTTTTTTGTTTATTTTGTTCTTGCTGGTTCATATCTAATCTCTTATCTCAAAAATTTTAAAAGGGAAAGATGAGTTTACAAATTCTGGCACTGTAACGGTAAGCACAGATAAAACACAAATTGAGAGCCGGCAGCATCTAATAGAACTGGGTTTTCTGCCAGCTCTTCTGCCTAACTAGTTATGTATTTGGCCAAATTCATTCTTTAAAGCTAAGTTTTCTTTTTAGAAAGTGGAAATAATGCTATTTTATGTTGTAAGCATAAATGAGAACAAAATGTAAGGTACACTTCACAGTACTCAGCTTTAAACATGTGCACAATAAAAAGTGTAAGACTATCTCATGAAATCTCAAGAGCTCTTACAACTCTAGCCAAATTCAAGGAGAGTCAGCCTTTTCTCTGTGGGTTCTATTATTTCTGAGTTCAACCAACCTCAGACAAAAAATATTTAGGGGAGAACTGTCTGTACTGAACACACATATACTTATTCCCTTATTATTTCCTAAATGCACATAGCTATCCACATAGTGTTTACAACATATTAGGCATTACAAGTAATCTAGAGATAATTTAAAGTCTACAACAGGACATGGGTAGGTAATACGCAAATACTGTGCCATTTTATATAAGGAACTAGAGTTCATCTGTGGATTTTTGTATCTGCAGGGGCTTCTGGAACCGATCTCCAGTGGATAGCTAGGAACAACCGCAAATCCATTACACCATGTTACATTTTATTATCTTATTTAGCCTAACTGCTCTCACATGATCGCTAAATCCTCAGTAACTAGTAAAGGCATAAACTTCAAACACGTTCACTGTAAGAATGTGCCTTGAGAAATTTTCCTAATTTTTTGAGTAAGAGGAGAAGCTTCAGGAACTCTCAAACGAAACTTTACTTTTATATTAAAATCCTTTCCATGTGTACAAAATTCCAACCCGGAACTACTACAACGAAGCGCACTTTGTGAGCGCGCTCTGCCTTCCAGGCCGCGTGACACGCAGCGATGGCGGCTCCTGGTGACGTCCAGCTGCTCGAGGGGGCACACGGACGGCGGGGAGAGGGTTCTCAAAGGGCAGGGGTGGGGGCGCCACTCCACTCCCGTGCCCCCCACCCCCACCCGCCGCCAATAACGCAGAGCTCTCGGAAGACTATGCGATCGACGAAGGCAGTGCCTCGGGTGCAAGTGTCCTGACAGGCCCACGAGCCGCCTCGTACCTCCACAAACCTGGGCCCAGAGGCTGAGGCGGTTCCGTCACGGACGGACGACACCCGGGCCGCCCGGCCCCGGCCCCGCTTGGCCTCTCTCCGGGGCCCTCTCCACTTACCGGAGCAGAGGGCTCGGCGGCTCAGCGCCCACAGAGCGCGCCGGACACACGCGGCAGACACCACAAACGCGCCGGAGCACGCCCGCCTCAGGCGGCCGAGACGCCGCGTGCCGGGAGCGCGGGGCTTCCGGGTCTCGCGAGGTTACGCGAGGTTCCGCCGGAAGTGGGGCGGAGGGCTGCGCCTGCGCAGTGGCGCTGCTGAGGCCCGTGCCCTCGGCGCTCGGGGCTCCCAGGGCTGGTTCCCTAACTGCCATGGGCACCCTCTCCCCATTCTCACTTAGGATCGCACTTAGGCCTGACCCACAAGGTGCAGTCGGTGCGGCCATTTTACCTTCGCAGTGAATCCGCCTGCATCTCGGGGGGTCTGTGTGCAGGTGCTGCCCCCAGCTACGCGCCGTCTGCCGGTGCCGGTGGAGGGCGTTTAAGTCAGACTTTGAAGAGTACGTGGGAATTAGTTGGGAACCATTAAAGGGCACAAGCCTGCTAGGCTGGAGGAGGGGCCCTGGGGAGCCTCAACCTCAAAGATTAGAACTGGAACCGGGTCAGGGGCGGAGGGTGCTTGGGTGCCCATCCCCTGCGGAGGAGCGGTGAGAGAGGGCCAGCTGTAGGCCCAGCTCCTCCGCTTCCAGCTTTCTGCGAATGCACCTGGAGGCTGCACATAATGGCTCAGGTCGTGAGTCTGCCATCCGTGTGGGAGACCTGGGCGAAGCTGCTGGCTCCTGGGCTTAAGGCCTGGCCCAGCCCTGGCTGATGCCGCCCGCAGGGGAGTAATACCGGATAGAAGATCGCTGTGTCTGTGCCCCTCCTCTGCCTTCTGTCACTATACCTTTCAAATAGACAAAACTAAAAAAAAATCAAGACATAAAGGACGGGAATTTTGCTGACACTAGAGGAAAGTGGGGAGATACCGGAAGCAGCCAGGATGAGAAGTGATTAAAGTTGGACAGGAATAAATGCTGCAAGTCCTATTTACGCAGAGCTGGGCTTTCTAGCTTTTACGGAATGCAGAGGAAGCCGGTGAACATGGTGTAGTGAGATTTGAATTTTGGAGGCCTGTCTGGGAAGCACATGGAGCTGTTCTGAAGGCCAACAGCCCGGGTCTTGCTGCTGGCTAGCCCTGTGGCCCCTCCTGAGTGCCATCGCCTTTTTAGAAAAAAATTGCCGGCGCCGCGGCTCACTAGGCTAATCCTCCACCTGCAGCGCCGGCACACCGGGTTCTAGTCCCGGTCGGGGCGCCGGAGTCTGTCCCGTTGCCCCTCTTCCAGGCCAGCCCTCTGCTGTGGCCAGGGAGTGCAGTGGAGGATGGCCCAAGTGCTTGGGCCCTGCACCCCATGGGAGACCAGGAGAAGCACCTGGCTCCTGCCATCAGATCAGCGCGGTGCACTGGCCGCGGCGGCCATTGGAGGGTGAACCAACGGTAAAGGAAGACCTTTCTCTCTGTCTCTCTCTCTCACTGTCCACTCTGCCTGTCAAAAAAAAAAAAAAAAATCCTTGTATATCTACGTGTTATATAAATACAGTTGTTACTATGGAAACATAGATTTGAATTTTGAAAGGATGGCTGGAAATAATTGAAAGGAGACAAATCTCTCGATACCTTTAAAAACTCCAAGAAGGAGTGGGTGGTGAGCATTTGCGGAGAACTAGGTAATTAACAGATGTTGATAGAGAAAATTCACTTTTGTTTTTATACACATGCCCTTTTATTAGTATAGATATAAGCAAAATTCATGGTTTCTAAACCTTTTGGGTTATTGTGGGCAGCAGTGTCACCTCTTTATTTTTTTCTTTGAAGATTTATTTATTTGAAAGGCAGAATGATAGTGAAAGAGGAAGAGGGAAAGAAAGAGGTCTTCCATCCACTGGTTCATTCCCCAGATGGCTGCAGCAGCCAGAAGCCAAGAGCCAGCAGCTTCTTCCCAGTCTCTCATGTGGGTGCAGGGGTCCAGGCACTTGGGCCACCTCCACTGCTTTCCCAGGTGCATTATCAGGCAGCTGGATTGGAAGTGGAGCAGCCAGGACTCAAACAGGCGCCTGTATGGGATGCAGGCAGCACAGGCAGCGGCTATGGCCACTGTGCCACAATGCTGGCCCTCACCTCTGCTGTTTTTTTTTTTTTTTTTTTTTTTTTTTTTTTTTGACAGGCAGAGTTAGACAGTAAGAGAGAGACAGAGAGAAAGGTCTTCCTGCCGTTGGTTCACCCCCCAAATGGCCCCCACGGCCCCCACGGCCCCCACAGCCGGCACGCTGCACCCATCCAAAGCCAGGAGCCAGGTGCTTCTGGTCTCCCATTCTGGTGCAGGGCCCAAGCACTTGGGCCATCCTCCTCTGTCTTCCCGGGCCACAGCAGAGAGCTGGCCTGGAAGAGGAGCAACTGGGACAGAATCCAGCGCCCCAACCGGGACTAGAACCCGGGGTACCGGCGCCGCAGGTGGAGGATTAGCCAAGTGAGCCGCGGCGCCGGCCACCTCTACTCTTTTACAATGACAATATAGTTAATTTGTAATTAATTAATTCAAATTAAATTAAATTAAATTTGTCTTTTCGTGTCATGGTATATGACATAAAAATTATTTGGGATAGAAACCCCAGTAGAATGGCATTGAATCTTCACTGTGCTTACTAGGAAATAGCATAATTTAATAGGATGGGGGGGCAGTCAATCTGCTAGATACTAGTTAACCTAAAGAGTTGATACACAGCAGATTCTTCCTCTAGCAAATTGCTTTTACTAATTTATTTTTAAAGTTTTTATTCATTTAGTGTATTTGAAAGTCAGAGAGACAGAGACAGAGAGAGTTCTTATCTGCTGGTTCCCTCCCCCAAATATTTGTTACAGCCAGGGCTAGGTGAGGCTTAAGCCAGGAGCCAGGAACTCAGTCTGGGTTTTCTACATGGGTGGCAGACCTCCAACTACATGAGCCATCATCTGCAGCCTCCCAAAATGTGCACTTAATAGGAATTTGTAATTGAGATTGAAGCCAGAATTTAAACCCAGGCACTCTTATATGGGATGGGTGTGTTCCAAGAGGCAATCAATGCTATTCCCCAATTGCTTTTAAAATTATCATTTTATGGGGCTGGCACTGTGACGTAGTGGGTAAAGCCGCTACCCGCAGTACCAGCATCCCATATGGATGCTGGTTTGAGTCCCAACTGCTCCACTTCCGATCCAGCTCTCTGCTATGGCCTGGGGAAGCAGTGGAAGATGGCCAAGTCCTTGGGCCCTTGCACCCACATGGGAGACCCGGAGGAAGCTCCTGGCTCCTGGCTTTGGATGGCACAGCTACGGCCACTGCGGCCACTTGGAGAGTTGACCAGCGGATGGAAGACTTTTCTATCTCTCTCTCTCTGCCTCTCCTCCATCTATGTAACTCTGACTTTCAAATAAATAAATCTTAAAACATTATTTTATTTTCTAGAAGATGAGTTCAGAAGCAATTTGGCTTTCATTATCTGCTCCACTAAGACTATTCTAAGTTTATCATTGATCTAGATTCTTAGCCGCGGAGTATTTTTCATGCTGTCACTCTCTAAGATGCAGTGTAGTCCTGGTGTTTGGTTGTTCCCTCTGGTTTTAGCTGGTTGCTCTTCCTCTCCCTTCAATAAAATAAATATAAAATAAAATATTTTATTTGTATATATATATATGAGAGTACTTCAAACAGTTCATGAGGGGTGGGTGTTTAGCAGAAAACGGCATTGAAAGGTAAATGTATTTTGGTGCAAAAACTTGAAATCTATGCTATGTGGGGTCATGGAAAATGTTCATTTATAAAAGCTATTCATGGATTTAATTTATTGCAGCAAAATACAAGCTCCATTTTTCCACAAACTTTTTAAGTACCCACACATGTTATGTGTGTACACACATATTCGTATTTGTCTAGGTACTTGTGTGTTAGAAGAGGAAACTAGAGAGTGGTAGTTAAGGCTTGGCTTTGGAACCAAACTTCTGGGAGTTCAAATCCAAGCTCTCCCCTCTTTTACCTGCTTCCTCATCTATTAAAAAATAAAAAGTAGGAGGCAATATAGTGCACCTTACCCTCACCCCTTACACTTGGGAATAGTAAACGAGTTCTCATGAATTGTTAAAGCACTTTGAACAGGGTCTGGCAAGGTAAATATAGTGTAAAGAATGTATACCATGTATTTTGTTAACATGTGTCAAAGAAGAAAAGTAAGTAGGGCATCATTGATTTGGTACACTCAAAATGGAGTTGAGGGGGCTCTTGTTAAAAATAGACCTTGGGGCCGGCGCCGCGGCTCACTAGGCTAATCCTCCGCCTTATGGCGCCGGCACACCGGGTTCTAGTCCTGGTCGGGGCGCTGGATTCTGTCCTGGTTGCCCCTCTTCCAGGCCAGCTCTCTGCTGTGGCCAGGGAGTGCAGTGGAGGATGGCCCAAGTACTTGGGCCCTGCACCCCATGGGAGACCAGGAGAAGCACCTGGCTCCTGCCATCGGATCAGCGCGGTGCGCCAGCCGCAGCGTGCCGGCCGCGGCAGCCATTGGAGGGTGAACCAACAGCAAAGGAAGACCTTTCTCGCTGTCTCTCTCTCTCACTGTCCACTCTGCCTGTCAAAAACAACAACAAATAGATCTTGGGGGAAAAATGGGCCTTGGGCATCTATGCCGCTGAACTACTGAATTAGGCTGTTTTGCACATACCTACCTTGGTGCAGACCTTCTAAACCAAGCTAAACTCTTCCTGGAATGAAATTCACTGATCTTGGCAACAGTTTGTGAACACATTCCCCATGCTTCCAGAGACTGTGTCCAATTCCCTACTTTGCTGTACAAATCATTATTCCTGACAAACAGAAGATGTAGTTAACAACCCATCTTGCAGTTTAGGCTATAAAACCAGATATCATTTTCTAACAACTTGGAGGACATTTTTGAAGTTGATTGAATTTTGTGTCTCCTGGCTTGCAAACCTAAAACTCCCCACTTCCTCCCCAAAATCTTACTCTTCTTTGCCCATGCGTGGGTTGATTTTTTTCTGAGTCAGCATTCTTGGCATGTTCTCCAGGATGCAGAATGAGCTTCCTCCATGTCCTAGTCCTGGTTGACATGGCATGTGGTCATCATCTGGACCCCTTTGCTTCTCCCATCTCCTGAGGCATGCTGGGTTTCAGGGTAAGTTCTCCTGGACTGAAAGCCCAATCTGATTTTGGTAGAGGACTGAAACCTTTGGAACAGCTCATTGTGAGCTTTGCTGCTTCTGGTGAGGGTTCTATCTCTGCCAAAAAGACAGACTCAGTTTGTCTTTGCTACTAGGCCGGGTTTAGCTCACAGGATTTTCTGTTCCTGTCATTTCAAGAGGATTGGGGTTCTGTTTTTTTTTTTTCTTTCTTTTTTTTTTAATTTTGATGAGAACTTGTAAGTTTAATATGGTTCAACTCATAGTAATATTTTGTTGCCATTTTAAATATTAGAATAAGATTTTAGTTGTTTTAGTCATGTATGGACACTCTCACACATTACATAATTTCCTTCTCCTCTTGTTCTGCTTTGCTGCTGAGAAAAATAGAAAAGAAAAAAGAATGAGGGACTGGGACTCACTTCTCTCATTTATCATCCAAGAATCATGTGTCTCTTCATTTTAAATAACAGAAAATTGTTCCTTTTATTAATTTTTTTGATGGGCAGAGTTAGAAAGTGAGAGAGAGAGAGAGACAGAGAGAAAGGTCCTCCCTCCGTTGGTTCACCCCCAAAATGGCCGCCAAGGCCGGTGCACTGTGCTGATCCAAAGCCAGGAGCCAGGTGCCTCCTCCTGGTCTCCCATGCAGGTGCAGGGACCAAGCACTTGGGCCATCCTCCACTGCCTTCCCGGGCCATAGCAGAGAGCTGGACTGGAAGAGGAGCAACCATGACCAGAACCCGGCGCCCACATGGGATGCTGGCACTGCAGGCGGAGGATTAACCAAATGAGCCATGGTGCAGGCCCCAATCTTTTATTAAATTTTTAAAGATACATTTATTGTCCGGTGCCACGGCTCAATAGGCTAATCCTCCACCTGTGGCATTGGCACACCGGGTTCTAGTCCCGGTCGGGGCGCCGGTTCTGTCCCAGTTGCCCCTCTTCCAGGCCAGCTCTCTGCTGTGGCCCGGGAGTGCAGTGGAGGATGGCCCAAGTGCTTGGGCCCTGCACCCGCATGGGAGACCAGGAGAAGCACCTGGCTCCTGGCTTCAGATCAGTGCGGTGCACCGGCCACAGTGTGCCGGCCGCAGCGGCCATTGAGGGGTGAACCAACGGAAAAGACCTTTCTCTCTGTCTCTCTCACTGTCCATTCTGCCTGTCAAAAAAAAAAAAAAAGATACATTTATTTATTTGAAAGGCAGAAATACAGAGAGAGAAGGAGAGAAAGACAGAGAGCGAGAGCACGAGAACGAGCTTTCATTTGCTGCTTCACTCCCCAAATGGCCACAATGGCCAGGGCTGGGCCAAGCTAGAGCCAGTAACCAGGAGCCAGGAGCCCTGAACCAGGGTTCAAGAGCTCAGGGATTTGGACCATCTTCCACTGCATTCCCAGGCGCATTAGCTGGGAGCTGGCTCAGAAGTGGAGCAGCTGGGACTCGAACCAGCACCCAAATGGGATGCCGGCACTGCAGGCAGAGGCTTTACCTTCTAGACCACAGTGCCAACCCCCCTTTTATTAATTTTAAAGGTGAACAAATATTTTCCATTTTTCCTTCTTTGAAAATCTCAAAGAAAGAGTGCATCGTGGGATCTACCCCTGGTGTTCTAGCCACGAAGCCTCTGCCCACGGAGGGCACAGACTCTGAGGCCAGCGTTCCCATCCGTGCTCCTCAGAGGACAGATGCCAGGCCCCAGCCTCTGCTCAGAGGCTCTCAAGGCTCAGCACTGCTGTCCTGCTCCATCCAACAGGAAGGCATGCTCGGCTGAGTAACGTCTGACATGGCATGGGACTCACGGTCAGGGGTCAGGAGACACTGTTCTCCCTTGTGGAAGCCGTGCTCTCTAACAAAGTCAGGTCAGGCCCTGATATCACTGTGTGTGGGATTTTACCCTGGCAGCCTTTACCACATCCACATCTGTGTAAGCTTCAGTTGGAAACCATAGTCCTCCCTGAATCCCTGTCCCTGCTCTTCCCTAGAGGAATGAGGATCTGTGTACTCAGACTTCCCACTTCTCTCTGAGCCGACCACGCTTCTGTAGACATATGAAAACAGAAATGGGAAACAGCAGTCATCTCTCTTGAGGTTTTTGTCCGTGGTTTCCTACCTTTCCTATGTCCTTGTTGTCCCAAGAGTTGGTTAAAATGGTTTCAAAACAAAGGAATCGAGTGCAGAAGAAGCAAGGCTGAGTTTGGGTAAATATCCATGAAGTCAAAGCTGGAGCTCAGTCACGCCTGAGTATCTTTTGAGAAAAGAGAGTGTTTTCTGAATTAGGAGAAACTTATGATGAGTGAAATACAAAGTATCCTGTCCAAATGACTAGCATTGTTTGTTGTTGTTACTTTCTTTTTAAGGATTTATTTATTGTGACAGAGAGAGACGGGGGTGGGGGGGTGGGGTGGGGTGGGGTGGTGGAAAGGGGCAGGGAGATTTTCCATCCACTGATTCACTCTCTAAATGGCCACAGTGACCAGGCCTGGGCCAGGCTGGAGGCTGGAACTCCATTTGTCTTGAGGATATTATGCGAAGTAAAGTAGCTAGACACACAAAGACAAAAATAGGGCCAGTGTTGGTACGAGAATTATGTGGTACCTTGTAAGCCCGGCATCCCATATTGAAGAGCTAATCTGAGTCCTGCCTGCCCTGTTTCTGATCCAGCCTGCTGCTTCTGGGGAAGCTGTGGATGATGGTCTGAGGACCTGGGTTCCTGTTACCTTTGTGGAGGACCCAGATGGAGCTCAAGGCTCCAGCCTGGCTCAGGCCTGGCCATTGTGGCCATTTTGAAAGTGAATCACGACCAGCGCCGCGGCTCACTAGGCTAATCTTCTGCCTTGCAGCGCCGGCATACCGGTTCTAGTCCCGGTCGGGGCGCCGGATTCTGTCCCGGTTGCCCCTCTTCCAGGCCAGCTCTCTGCTGTGGCCAGGGAGTGCAGTGGAGGATGGCCCAAGTACTTGGGCCCTGCACCCCATGAGAGACCAGGAGAAGCACCTGGCTCCTGCCATCGGATCAGTGCGGTGCACTGGCCGCGGCGCGCTGGCCGCGGCGGCCATTGGGAGGGTGAACCAACAGCAAAGGAAGACCTTTCTCTCTGTCTCTCTCTCTCTCACTGTCCACTCTGCCTGTAAAAAAAAAAAAAAAAAAAAAAAAAAAGAAGTGAATCAGTGGATAGACGATCTCTCTGGTCCCCACTGCTGGCTATCACAATAAATGAAATCATAAATTGTTCCGTCCTAACACACACACAATACAGGGTCTGTCCTCCCCTGAGGACAGAAGGAAGGGGTTAAGAAGGACCCTGTCCTTCCTTCTCTGAACAGCATTTCTTGCTGGCCTGTGGTCCTTGTCACTCAGATCACAGAGTTGTCAGAGTCTCCAGACAACATGAAGGGAGGTCACAAGCACATCCCTGTGGGACACAGAAAATTGTCCCAGAATCTGACCAGGCTCATCACATCTTACCATGTCAAGTCTTCCAGCATAGCCGAGTCAGAGACAAGATGAACAATGGAGCTGAGGAACAAGAGCAAGGTTTTTCTATTTATGACGGGGTCTGAGAAACACAAGGCAAGGGCACAGAACGGATTAGGGGGTGGAAGCACTTGTGAGCAGCAATGGGCCTCCTGGGAGGTCCATGAACAGGAAACTGGCCCAGTGCTGGGGTCAGCCATTCTATCCGTGCTATCAGGGAGGTAAGGGCAGGGGTCCATGTGGCTATCCTCTTCTCTCCACAGGGGACTGTGGCACACACACAAGGTAGTTCTCATTGAGATCCTCTGCAACACACACACAGATATACATAACCTTTGAGGTTCTGAACCTCTGGCTTCTACAGGAAAAGAGGTTCACTTTTAGTTAAAAGGCCCAAGGCCATTCCTATTTAAACAATCACAGTCCATATGTGCGTGTGTTGTGGGGATGGTGGCATTTGTAGCGGGAGATTAGCACCCTATTTCTTGAGATCCACCATAGAAGAAACAGTGGGTTAATGAACCCTTTGAACGCCAGGGCAGGTTTGAGCATGCCCCAGCAGCTGTTCCCTAAGCCCACAGCACACACACTGTTGCTGTAAGCAGGAGCTTCCAAACACATGTGTTTATCAACAGTGCTGGTGGCTCCAAGCTGAGCAGTAACAGCCTGACCGGGTGGACCACTGGGGTGTGCTGCCTGAAGGGGACATGGAGCTTTCTCCCTGCACATGCACGGTGCTGTCCTGCACAGCTCCACTTCACTTTGCTAGGTGAGCCCAGCGGCCTGTGTCGCAGCAGGAGTATTTCCAGCCACAGCATGATGGTGCTGTCTTCCGTGACAACAACAGAGTTTTCAGCTCCAGGGGTGTCCTGGGTGCTCTGATGGGAGGTGGGATCACCAGGGCCTCCCATCACAGGGCTGGTGGTGTTTCCAGCAAATGCACCACCTATGACTGAGGTGGGGGCACAAGGCCTTTACCCAGAGGAAGGGTGTTCTCTACGTGGTACTCCAGTGTTCTGGGGAGGTGGGCTCCAGGTCAGAGGCTGGGTGTGGAGTACCAATGTGTCCAAATCGGGGATGGTACTGGTGTTTTCCAGCTCTGTGACTGCTAGAATGGGAGGTGGTGGAGGACAGGCGACCCACCACATGCTTCCTGTCCCGGGTGTTGGGTCCCCTGCATGTGATGGATTTTTCTGTCTAGATAGGTCTCAGAGGCACCCATAGGAAGTGGGAGCCCAAGGTGCTTCATGGGTATGGCGTCATGTCCTCCCACAGTCCCCCTCCCTCAGTTCTGGGCAGGTGGGCCCCAGGTGCATGTAAGCGCACTCAGAGGAAGTGGGAGCCCAAGGTGCTTCATGGGTATGGCGTCACGTCCTCCCACAGTCCCCTTCCCTGAGTTCTGGGCAGGTGGGCCCCAGGTGCATGTGAGGTGGCAAGTACTCTAGTGTGTCCCAGCTCAGGCACAGTGGTGGTGTTTACAAGTGGCTGTGCTATGGCCAAGTGAGTCCCAGGTGCTGGGGTGGGAGGTGGACACAGACATGTCCCTAAGACATCTTTCTTGGCAAAGATCTGGCCTCTCCAGGGGCAGGTGTTTCTGTCCACGTGTGTCCCAGGTGCTGGGGTGGGCAGCAGGAGCCCAGAGGTCTGCGGGCATGGGATGGCCTGTGTTTCAGGTCACACAGTGGATCTGGAATGTGGCGAGCACTGGAAGTTGATCCCCTACACAGGAAGGATGCCGTGGCCAGGTGGGTCCCGAGTTCCCGACCCAGGGCGGCGGTGGAGTGGGACTGGGTGTCCCTGTCCCAAAGTGCACTGCTCTGAACTGGAACTTGGAAGCACACTGAATCCCAGCCTCACTGGTCCAGAGGGCTGCTGGCCCCATAGACACCCGTCACCCTGGTGGGAGGCCCCTGGGCCATTGAGGGAGCTTTATGTACCAGGGGGTGCAGGGTGTGGAGGCTGGGCAGGCTGCCAGGCCCCTGGGCTGGAGACATGGCGGGCCCACCTCCCATCCACTGGGCTCACGTCCTGCTGCACTGTGGAGAGGAAGGTGACCAGCTGGTGGACAGCGCCTTGGACTCTGACTCTGACTGACGGAGGAGCCTGCACATTGTCTGGGACATAACGAGGAAGGGGAGTCGGGGGCAGCCAGAGGATTAGTCAGGGGTCTCACTGACACTGGGCGTGGAGGGATGCGCAGGGGCAGACAGATCTGGCCGGCTTGGGTGGCAGCAGCAGCTGGGACCCGCGCAGCACCCAAGGGCCGGGTCAGGCAGTCTGCAGTCTCTGCCCCAGCCGGGGAGAGGAAGGGGTGGGGAGAGAGGCACAGAGCCACCGTGCCGCCTGCTCTATCCTCCAGGACTTCCATTTTACTGAGGGGGTCTCGGGTTCCTGGGACCCTGGGTGATGCTCTCCACGGTGCCCACGTCTCCTCCCATAGCAATGCAGGCCAGTCTGGGAGCTGGGGCCGCTCGCCGCCATCTCAGAACAGAAGCTGGGGCGTGGTGCGGGCAGAGGACTGCTGATGGCTGCCTCCGCATCTCCTTGTCCGCCCAGCACGTCCTTGGCCCGCGGCTCGATGAGTCTGGAGGCCTGCTGGGGGCCTTGCACAGGGCTGCGGGCGCCCGGACAGCGCAGTCCTGAGCAGACGCTCAGCCAAGGCCCCGGGCCTACTCACTCCAGGTCGTCGGAGGTCGGGGCGGCGCCTCCCCGGGAGGCAGCGGGTCGCCCTCGGCTTCCAGGTCCAGGCTGGTGCCCCCCAGGTCCACGCTGCTGCTCGCCCGTGGCTGAGCCGCGAGTCCTCTCCCGCTTCGCTCTTCCTCTCCATCCGCCGTGGTCCTGGGGCGCCGGCCGGGCCCCGGAGGAGGTGACAGCGCTGTGTGTGCAACCCTGACCCTCGCACCTGTGGGCCTGAGTCGGGGTGCGACGTCTGGCAGGTGCCCCTAGAGCGCCCCCGCTTCTCCGTGCGCCCGAAAGGGCCGGGAGCGGAGGAGCCCGCAGAGCGGCAGCGGCCTGCGGCGGGCCGGGCGACAGCGGCCAGGATCCCGCAGCCAGGGCCCCGGCCTCGAGCTCCCAAGAGAGCAGAGCGGCCGGAGCCGGCGGTGCGCGCCGCCCCGCAGAGGAGCTGCAGGCCGGCCCCGGCCCCTCCCGCTGCGCGCCGGCGACCACGTGGGGCGCCCGCGAGCCGGCGCGAGCCGGGCCTGGCGGCAACGGGCGTCCATAAGCAGCAACGGACGGCGGCGGACGTTGGCCCTGGCGGGGCCCTGGGGACGGAGCCGCTGCGGCCCTGCGGGCTCCTGGGCTCGGCCGGGTCCCTGGGTGGGTCCCGGGCCCGTGCGTCGTGGCCGTGTCCGGGGTCAGGCAGGGCCGAGCCCGCTGCCCGCCCAGCGGCGGGGGCGCCCTGTGCATGGCCCCCGGGCCGGCTCGCTGCCTGGCGGAGCCCGCGGGGGCTGCGCTGGCCGGTGCCGCCCGGAGCAGGTGCCTGCCCCTGCTGTTGGGGCCGAGAGCCGCAGGGAGGCCGAGGCACAGGTGCTGCTGGGCCCCGCAGGGCGCCGCGGGCTCCGGGTGCGGCCGAGCTGCGCTGCCGCGGTCACCAGGTACCCCCGCCATGGTCCTGGGTCCTGAGCACCCGGCGCGGCTCCCTGGGCACCTGCACCACCCCCGCCGAGGCTCGGTCCCTTGGCGTGGGCCTGGGCAGCCGCGGCCCACGCTGGGCTCCATCTCAGCAGGTGCAGGGCCCCCATCAGCCCCGTCGGCCTCCCTGATGGAGCCTGCAGCCCCTACTGGTCGTGGCCGCATTTGGGGATGCGGTTATCTTGAAAGAACGGATGATTCCATGTGGATAAGACGCGGTTACGCTGGTCTCGGGGGGATGCGTCTGGAAAGCAAACATCGTTTACGTGCAAGTTAGTGGTGCACAGTGAGAGCCGCACAGCTCGGTCACCGGGACCCTGCCAGCCGGGCCCTCTCAAGTCTGCCTGCTGCTGGCCCTCAGGGTCGCCCTAGATGTCCCAGCGCCCAAGAGAGCAGGTGCACGCTTGGTTTTCAGAGCCAGGGAAGCAAGTACTGTCTGGGAACTGGAAGCTTTAGCCTGGTAAGAAAGTTCAGAAAAGTTCTCGGCCTGGTAAGAAAAATTCTGCACATCGCTTTTTGTACTTGAATTTTTTTTGTTGTTTTATTTCATCTGAGTGTTTTTCTGTCTCTGGGGGCTGTTGTGTATCAGAAATATGACATGCAGAGGGTCCTGAACCAAGAATGATAGAGATTAATATAAATTCTTAAAAATTTTAAATAGTCGATGTACAGTGGCACTAGGCATAATTCATGTGTTACTAAATTGACTTTAGCCCTCTGCTCATAAGAAAGCTTCTATAGTGTATGAGCCACTTGGACTTCCATCCCCAACAAATTTGAAGTTTTGCTCACACCCAAATTCTGTGTGTTTAGAGAAGAAATTAGCTCCTATAATTCTAACCTCTCCAGGAGCAGAGCTGATATATACTTGTGGCATTTAAACATAATTCCTTGATGACATTTAGGCAGAAAGCAACATAGAATGTAATCTTGCTTGCTTCTTTGAAAGAAATTAAGCTAGCTTAAATTTTAGAAAACTGTTTCCTGTAGGAGCTCTGAAAAATAATAATCGCATGCCAGATCTTTAATAAATAATTGCAGTCATGTTCTTTCCATTATTTTTTTACCAAAAAGAAAAAGTAGTTAAACAAATGAAGATAGTTGAAGCAAAATAGTTTCAAAATATAATAGTTGTTAATTATATTTGAACAATAATGCTTTATAGCTGCCAGGGGAGATTACTTAATGTGATGATTTATGATGCACTGACCTGCAGTCATGCGAAGGGACGAGGCAAACGGCCAGCGCTGCCTGGAGCTGTGGTGGTGAGAATATCCACAGAGACGCGCAGTGGGGGAAACCTCTCAGTCGGTCCCCGTTTCTTGTCTTGACGACCGGCAATCCACTGTAGTCATACAGAGGTCATCCACGCGGCTCTTCACATGAAGACTCCACCCTAGAATAACTCAGCATCTTGGAATCAGCACTTCTTCCCCCACTTCCCTGCGCTCTAACCAGAGCTCAGCAAAGGCACACAGGTTTTGTGCGGTTCCCTCTTAGGTTTGTCTTGGCCTGATTGTTTTATCCATCGCCCATGCAGCCTACTTTTCGTTTCCCAAAAATCTGTCAAAACCTTTCTGTGGCTGATGGCTCCCACAAACTCTTGGCTTTTATCAGTCTACTAAGTTTGGTACTTTACACTTGTATTTGATTATGATTCCAAGAGGAACACAGAGACATGTGTTCCTGGTCTGACATCGTGAACTGAAAAGTCTCTTGATTGTCGAGAATTCCCATGGGAAGAATCCAACTCTAGCATGGACAGCTGTAACTCACAAGAATTACACTTCTCTCAGTGCTGGTCTTCAGCCACTCCCAGGGCCCCAGGCAGCAGGTGCAGACACCTCTTATAAGATGGGGGTGAAGCCCTTTTGTGCTACAGACAGTGCCTCCCCGTGGTCTGCTCTGCCTCCATTTCTCCTGGAAAGACCCTGTGGAGGCCTACAGGTCCTCGCTCCACTTCAAAGATAATTTATTTTGGAAGAAGTCCCATTTGTCATCTCACCTTTTGAATACATCTAAGGAGCTAATGGCACCTTCCTCACCAAGAAAAAAAAAAAAAGTTCAGCTTCTCTTTAGAAATCAGTGCAGATCAGGATATATTAATCTCTGATGGGGAAATGATACCTATCCCATGAAGATGATTTGAAGATGAAATAGATAATGAAAATGCTTTATGAAGTCTAAAGCACTATAAAAATGCTTTGCATTTGTTGCTATATCAACTTTACCTGATAGTCATTTATAACTCTGTGTGAAGAAGTGCTTTTCCAAAACCATGTTATATTTTTCTAGTTTATTTGAGAAACAGAGCAATAGATACAGAGCTAGAAAGATAAGAGACAGAGCTAGTTCATCAGCTAGTTCACTTCGCAAGTGCCCACAACAGTTAAGAATTTTATGACATTCCACAGAATTCTTTTTCAGTCAGTACAAATATTGAAACTGGTGCATGCATGTGCACCTTGATTAATTTATTTGATGCTCTACAGGAGCCCCTCGAGGTAGGGATAGCAGGTACGATGATCAGTATCTCACAGTGAGTTGAATGTGCTCAAGGTACACCATGGTTTAGCTGTAGATGTGAAATGATCACACCCTTCCCAGGAACCCATAACTTACCGGTAAGATCATGGTAGCCAACAGAGATTCTCTGAGCTTCCAACAGCACACACTGTAGAGACCCAAGTATGCTGTGTCTGTTTTAAAGATGGGAAGAAGTGATCTGGGTCACACAAGGCAAAAGGAATAGTTAGTGTCGCTGTCCATGGTCATTTCTCCTGGAGAGAGTAGGCCTCAGCTCACTGAAGGGGGCAAGCTGGCCATGGTGTGCTCAGACAGGCTGCCTTTCTCTGACACTCGGAAGAATTTGCAGAGTGGAAAACCATCCTTACCTAAACAGCTAAGGGAAATTGGGTCATTAGGAGTTCCTCAGCTTTACTGTTCGGCAAGATGAAGACAGTTGTTCTGAATGCGTCCAACTACCAAGAGGTTTCGGGTCTTAATTTTCATGTGGAAGGAGCTTATTTCACTTCTGCAGCCTCCTGTCTGTCTCTTTCCAAACTCTGTTAGAGGTTTGGGCAGAATCAAGTAGAAAAGAAAAATCAAGATAAGTGGTTATTTAATTGATACATAGAACATTTCATGGACTCACAAGAGCATGCAGAATAAAATGTGATTTTGTCCAAATGTTGTTTCAGTATTGTACACTGGAGTGGAACTTCCAAGGGGCCAAGAAACAAGAATCTGCCCTCCTGCTGGGAAGTGCAGTCCACACACCCCTGCAGTGATCAGTTATACTCATTCCACAGAATCATCATCTTTATACCTGGTAGGTGTCTAACTTGGACTTCACAGTTTCCTAGATGCTGCTTCTTACGCCGTGTTTCAATTTCAGACTTGCTAAGCTCAGTTGCCTAGGATGGAAGAATTGCGTTTTTTGTTTGTCTGTGTTTGGAACCCATGAAAGAACGCTGGAGTGGGAAGGAGGAGATCTGGAGCACGTTCCCAATCTATCACAACGTAATTATGTTCCCTTGGGAATGTCATAGATATTTAGACCCTTTTCCCCTTATTTATATTTACAAAATTATCGCAGATGATTCCAAATATGAAGGGTCTCCAAAGTGTTGATTTGAAGTTTGTGTTATGAAAACAATGTGTGGATAGCTAAGTATTTGTACACCAAATTAAATTTAGCTGATGCAGTAACTTATTTGAGAGGCAGGGTCTCATACACTGGTTCACGCCTCAAATTCCCATAATGGCTGTGTCTGTGTGAAGTCAATCCAGATCTCCCATGAGGCTGGCATAAGCCCAGTTACTTTAACCATCCTGGCTGCTTCCCAGGGTTCTGCATTAGTAGGAACCTGGATTCAGGAGCTGGAGGAATCAAACCCGAGTAGTGTGACATTGATACTGGCTTCTTAGTGTACTAACCAGTGGACAGTAATCCCAGTCCCAACATGTATATGTAGAACTTTTCATTATTTGTTTCTTATGTATTTATTTAGAGAGAGATTTTCCACCTACTGATTGACCCCCCAAATGCCTACAACAGCCAGGTTGAAGCCAGGAGGCTGAAACTGTATCTGGTTCTCCCACATGGGTGCTACAGAACCCAGTACGGAGCAGTTACCTGCTGTTTGTCTGCAGGAAACCAGAACTGGGAATGAAAGGAGGACTTGAGCCCAGGCATTCCAGTACGGGATGTGGGTGTCCCCACTGGTGCACCAAATGCTGGTTCCCAGGGGCTCACCAAATGCTTGCTGCTGCACTAGGCTCACACTCATGGTATCTGAATTCTGTGCGGTAATGGTTTGGATGTCACTGGCCTTCTGACTGAAGACAGTTCCACATGAACGGTGTAGCTGCTCCCCAGCTCTACGTCCGGAGTGTCCTCCATTTTCTAGAGGACGAGACAACAGAGACAGTGCAGGAATAGCTGACTTCAAGATCCAAAGCAGATGAAGGCTAGACCCGTGTTTTCCTCCAGCTCACCTGACTAGCACTAAGGGATAAGTGGGAAGCATACTGTGAGTGTGTTTTAAAGGAGAACATTCCTGTAGGACTTCCAGCCAATAGCAGGAAGTACTGTAATTCTGAAGAGTTTTCCCAATTTTGTGAGGTTTGCAACTCTATCTTCATGTCAAGCAAGTTGTCTAAGTGCCAGATAATCCCCTGAACTTCTGGCTGCTTAGTAAACTAAAATTGTGAACTTCTAGAAGCTTACCCCTTGCATCGGAAATGAGAAACAGATAGGCTGTTTTCTAGACAGTCCAATCAGGCTGTGATATTTACAAATAAGAAATGGACTCAGTGATTGGGTGGGGTTCAGTCCTCATGCTTAGGTGGTACTAGCGCCTGGCTAATGCCCTCTGTGCCCTCCTAAACGACAAATTCCATGAGGACAGGAACTACCTCTGTTCATCTCTTGGCATTGCCTTAATGTGCTGTTGGCTGTGCAGTGGTTAGCTGTAGAAATGAGATGTGAAGGCATTAGCGTTGCATACATGTATACATTGTGCACATATCACTTGTCATCACCTTATACATACACAGCCATGACGGAACCCAGAGTCCACCCTGCTCAGTTGGGCCAGTGCTTGATGCCACTTCTAATGATTTTCCCCTGTTTTATACATTTCTTCCTTATAAATGAAAACATATTGATAATTGTACACATTTATGGGCTGCATGATGACACTTCAATACATGATAAAGTGTATGCTGATCAAATCAGGGTCATTAACATCTCCATTTAAAACAACTTTTTTTTTAACTTTTATTTAATGAATATAAATTTCCAAAGTACAGAATATAGATTACAATGGCTTCCCCCCCATAACGTCCCTCCAACCCGCAACCCTCCCCTTATCCACTCCCTCTCCCCTTCCATTCACATCAAGATTCATTTTTGATTCTCTTTATATACAGAAGATCAGTTTAGCATACATTAAGTAAAGATTTCAACAGTTTGCTCCCACACAGAAACATAAAGTGAAAAATACTGTTTGAGTACTAGTTATAGCATTAAATCTCAATGTACAGCACACTAAGGATATAGATCCTACATGAGGAGTAAGTGCACAGTGACTCCTGTTGTTGACTTAACAAATTGACACTCTTGTTTATGGCATCAGTAATCACCCTAGGCTCTTGTCATGAGCTGCCAAGGCTATGGAAGCCCCCTGAGTTCACTGACTCTGATCATATTTAGACAAGGCCATGGTCAAAGTGGAAGTTCTCTCCTCCCTTCAGAGAAAGGTACCTCCTTCTTTGATGACCCGTTCTTTCCACTGGGATCTCACTCGTGGAGATCTTTCATTTAGGTTTTTTTTTTCCCCCTAGAGTGTCTGGCTTTCCATGCCTGAAATACTCTCATGGGCATTTCAGCCAGATCCGCATGCCTTAAGGGCTGATTGTGAGGCCAGAGTGCTAAAAACAACTTTTTACTTATTTTATTTGAAGGAAAGAGATTGCTTCCACCTGCTGATTCGCTCTGCAAATGCCTGCAGTGGTCGGGCTGGTCCAGGTCAAAGCCAGGAGGCCGGAATGCAATCCAGTTTTTCCGTGTGGTTACAGGGACCCGCATACTTAAGTCTTCGTCTCTGCCTCCCATGGTATGCTTTCACAGGAAGATGGATGGAAAGCGAAGTAGGCAGGCCTCAGACCTGACGCCCCATTATGGGATGTGGGCATCCCAAGTGCCAGCTTTGCCACTGTGACAAATTCCTACCCCCATCCCCCCTTTGACATGACTATGATGGGAGACTCAGAACTCCTTTCTTCTGTTTGTTCATAAAATATATACTAGGTCATTGTGAACTGCCATCAGCCCATTGTGCCCTGTTACACACTAGGATCTTATTCCTTTGATCTAACTCTGATGTGGCACCTGTTATCAAAACTCCCTTTATCCCCTTCTTATCCGTGTTCACCTCTAGTAATTATATTTCTGTGTTCACATTGAAGTTTTCTTAAGCTCCCACATATGAGGGAGAATATGGAGTATTTGTCTTTCTGTTTGTCTTGTTTCATTTACCCTTTTGCTGCAAATGACGGAATTTGTTTTATTTCAGTATAAAAATAGTAGTAGTATCCCATTGTGTATATTTAACATATTTCTTTATTCGTTCATCTGATGATAGACACCCAAGTCGTTCTGTATCTTGGTTCTTGTCAGCAGTGCTCTGTAGAGATGATGGGAGTCACTGAGGTCTTCCAGGCAAGGCCAAGTCACCTGCCAGGGAGCCAGGGTTGGCGCTGTGCTGTTCTTTGTTCCTCTCTCTACGCCGGCTTTCTCAGACTCTGTTATTTTCAGTTCCTGGCACTCGTTTACTCAAGTTTAGCCTCAGTGGATCTCCTGGAAGCGTGATCTTTCCTTTGTTATTCTGCCTTTTGGTTTTTGTTTTTGCTTTTGTCTGTGTTGGAGGTGCGTGCAGGTCCTCTCCATTCAGTAATCTTGCATCCTCTCCCTAGTAACTTTTCTTTCCATCAGTGTCTTCTGGACTAATCCAAAGAAGGCAGGCAAGGGAGGGACTAGGCCGCAGCTTCTGGTTGGCTGACGCATAAGGGCATCTGGGTGTTCCTGGGAACAGAACCCTGAAGCACACAGTTCTCCATCCTTCCTCTGTGCCTTGGTAGGAATCTGCTTCCAAAGGCTGGCGTCAGTAGCTGCAAGGTGCCTCTGCACAAGGCTTGGTAATCAAGTCCACAGGGCCGAGACAGTGTTTGATTGGCTTTGTAGTTTATATGTGGAGGTGCTCTGGGGGAGAGGGTATAGGGGATCCTGATGGCTTCCTTCTGTGAAAAGAGCCCCTGGTCATTCCAGGCTCTGTTTCCAGACTCTGCCTCTTAGCTGGCTATAAGAGTCATGGGCAAAGTTTAGAAAATATTCACTGTGCATGCTCAGCTTCAGTAATTTTTTCTTTTCTTTGAAAGTACACATGAAGTCCTTCTATTTCTTATTTTTTTTTTATTTGACAGGTAGAGTATAGACAGAGAGAGACAGAGAGAAAGGTCTTCTTTCCGTTGGTTCGCTCTCCAAATGGCCGCCACGGCTGGCGCTGTGCCGATCTGAAGCCAGGAGCCAGGTGCTTCTCCTGGTCTCCCATGCAGGTGCAGGGCCCAAG